GGATACGCACCAAGGAACACCGGTCACTCTGGGAGACCCCAGGGTGGCGGCCGTGCTTAGCAGCGGGCTCTGTGGGCCGGCCTTGGCTCACTCTTAACCAAGAGCCTTGGTTAAGATACCTGGCTCTTGAGGCCAAGGTCGCCGGTTCGAATCCGTGCTTGCACGGTGGAGGACGTCGGGCTCATGCTGGGATGGGTAGCGCCGTCCTGTAACCTCAGCGTTGGGGAGCTAGATGTGCAGATCCATTTAGCTGCTGTGGAAGCACCCGTTAACCACGGGATATGTGGCTCGTATAGGTGGACGGGAGGGAGTACCAGTGGTAAAGGTTTGTGCTGATTGGCGAGAGGGATGTGCGAGAATTCGTCGTGTCTGTGTGGTGTTGTGTGTGGTGTGTGTTGAGTTGGACACTACAGCCTTGCAGGGGTGGGGTGGATATCACGACCGGTATGGTTCGACTTTTGAACACCGTGTCCTGGATGTAGTGGTTAAGATACCTGGCTCTTGAGGCCGAGGTCGCCGGTTCGAATGCGCGCTTGCACGGTGGAGGACGTCGGGCTCATGCTGGGATGGGTAGCGCCGTCCTGTAACCTCAGCTTTGGGGAGCTAGATGTGCAGATCCATTTAGCTGCTACAAGCAAAAGGGGAGGCTGGGAATCCTTCCACAAACAACCCGGTGTGCTGGGGCCATTGCCCAGTTTAGGCCAAGCTGGAAACTGGGTCCAGCATCCCATACTGCCTCCCAGAGTTTTCCTGCTACTGAAACCCCTACTACCATTGGCCACTAACTCCTCCAACGACCTTTGCTCGCGTGATCGCCATGTGCAGCAGGTTTCCCTTTCCACCATCCTGATGAGTTGGGCCCGTGCCTCCCTGCTTGTTGACAGGACTCTGTCAATCTGTAGAAAGGAAGAGCTGACATCGGTAGAATAGTTCTACATCCAAAGTTTTTGTTCAATACTTCAAATGAGGAGTAGATGCAGAGGTAGCAAAAACAGACAACGAAAGAGAGAGAGGAAGGCAGAGCGCTCCCTACAAGTAATAGGGGAGGCAGCTGCACCATGCATTCTTCCATCAGTGGAGTCCTGCAACAAATACGGGGAAAAGGGAGGATAGGGCAAGATCAAGATAGGGCAACCCGAGAAGGAACTAAGGGCAACCCTGAAAGGTAGCCACAATCTACAAATCAACATTTCTACTATCATCGAAAGTATACCTATGGCTTGGAGACTACTACTAAAGCCACCAAGAAATGCTTTGGGGCGACTGGGCAGTACAAAAGGGACAAACAGCAACCCAGGAGGTCCTCAAAATAACCAGCTACGAGCAACACAACAAAGAGTGGATTCTATGCTCCATTTTTGCTCTAGAGGAACTGGGCAACCCGGTGAGTTTCCTCAACAGGGAAAGTAGAGCAGAAGGAACATTTAAAGTTAGTACCCTTAAAAGAATCAGAGTGATCGAAGGAGGCAGAAACAGGGTCTACAAGCCAGAAACAGAACTACGCTATCTGGAAATTGACCCAGCTGAGTGGTCCTGGAGCGCATCAAACCCCCAATCCCTTATTGAACGTCGCCACATGCTAACCGGCTACACCCCTAAACTGGGTTACAGGCTTTTTCTCAAAAACAACTTCAGCACCAACGATGCTATAGAAATGATGGGGAAAGGAATAAATCACTCTTCCAAACCTCACCATCAAACCAGCCTGGTCCTCGATCTTCTGCACGAGACCAACCAAACTAGCGAGCCTACTATGGCTCATAACCTTCAGCACAGTCCCTGTCAACCTATGGCTATCACAAAGAAGAAGAAAAGAGGAGAGAACGGAGCAAGCAGCACGGTGCAGAGTATGTAATTCACCAACCGAGGAATCCCTCGATCACTGCTTTATGGACTGCGTAAAAGCTAAACAGCTGTGGCAGCCTGGCAGGACATAGAAACACTTGGAACAAGCATTCCAACAGAAAGATAGCAATTAACCCCGTTACCCTATTCCTTGACAAGGAATAACCTCCCCCTCTTAAAGGATTTGAATTTTGAACTCTTCCTTTTTTCGCTAATCAGGAAAGGCACTCTATGGGCAATTTGGAAGAGGAAATGTGCAGCAAACTTCAATGATATCAGCACCAACTCCGAGAATCCGCTCGTCACCATCAAACAGATCATTGAAACAGAGATACAGGCCATATGGAACAAAACAAAAAAACAGTTTCAGGAAAATACCGGATAAAGAAATAGAAATAGTCAAGAAATTCACGACCACAAGGCTAGGCAACGGAAAACTTGGCTCAGTCGTGGGAGATAGACTAGTTCTCAAGGATTGGCTAGCCATACCAGCACAATGCTATCAGGAACTGTCTACCTTCCTAATGGCTGCTTCGATTTCTCGCCCGGTCGACTCCAACACATTGCCCGATGACGGAGCGGATCAGAGAATCTGAGCCCGAAGGGCAAATCTAGAGCCAAGCCCACAACAAGAGAAACTCCATGGTAGGACCCACACCAAGCACCCCCCGATACAGGACTACCCCCAACAATCCTCTGGAACATCCACACATCCGCAGTCTCATCCTCTCCCGAATAACCACTAAAAACCTGGACAGCTATCAAAATGTAACCTCCCAGTATAATACCACCGTGAGACCCAGAACAGGTCTCCCCCGAACACAGATCTACCCACACCAACACAGCCACCCTCCAAGTCCCCTGAAAACTCTTCCCAGCCCCAGTCCCATATTGCCCGGCGCGACCGCTAAACCCCTTAACCCCTATCAAAACATACCCTCCCGCCCTGATCCAATACCATAACAACAAATCTTAGAACGATACCTTCTCACCCATGATTTTTTATCCGCATACACTCACTATTTCCAGCTAACAGGATAGGAAACCCACCTGACAGTCTTGAGCAGAGTTGGTTTCATTCCACGGCTACCCAAGGATCTATAGTAACAAGAGGTTTTGCCAAGTATAACAGGCTAGGAAATAAAGTTACATCAAGGCCTAAGACTATAGGGTTTAAAGACTAGTATAGGACGCAGAGAGATACCAAACTTGTGACTACAGCAGTACAGACAAATCAGATAGCTAAGTAGCTGAGAGGAACCCACTAGTGACAGCCTTTATAGGAAGGTTCCTATCAGTAAACAACAGAGAAGTAGGACGGCGTAAAACCATTCGCTTGAAGTACATCGAGCAGGTCAACTTAGGCAGGGGTAAAGGATGGTACATCCTTCCCACGGGAAGTAATCAATGCCGTCCTTGGGGCCTTCCAACCATAAAAGGAAGGAGCATGGCAACCGCGGACCTGGACCCGGACATGTCTGGACCGAGGCCCAGACATTTGTCTGGACTGGTCCAGACGTCCGGTAATCCGGACAGGCACCGGACAACCGGACAGGACCGGACCCGGACCGTCCGGACCGGTACACCAGACACAAAAAATGTCCGGACCGATGGGAAAAAAAAAAAAAAAAAAAAAAAAACCCTTAGTAATAAGCAGTAGTACTCAGTACTAACCACAGTTTACTGTCTTTCAGTATTCACAACTTGACAGCTTCATACTGTCACAGACATTCACAAAGGCTCACACAACACTTGAAACCAGTTCTCAACAGACCAATCCCAAGTCACTTCAGCACAAAGGCTCACACAACACTTGAAACCAGTTCTCAACAGACCAATCCCAAGTCACTTCAGAAAAAGAGTGCGAAAATCAGGAAAGAAACAGAACTTTGACCTTTGAAGTTAAGACTTTCTAATTCATATTCATATGAAAATTGAAAATTTAAACTGTTAAGTTATTCAGATCGGCGTAAGAAGTACAAAAAACAGATCTGAGATCTGGTCAGGACCAGATCTAAGATGGGATCTCAGATCTGACCAAAATCTGAGACCAAAATCTTCTCTCTCTCTCTCTCTCTCTCTCTCTCTCTCTCTCTCTCTCTCTCTCTCTCTCTCTCTCTAGCTTGATATTCTTTGGTGCTTTGCAGCCAGCTCTTCACTTTTGGAATCAGACTCATCTCTCTCTCTCTCTCTCCCTCTCTCTCTCTCTCTCTCTCTCTCTCTCTCTCTCTCTCTCTCTCT